TAATCCCAGCAATTTGGGAGGCCAAAGCAGGCAGATCACTTGAACTCAGGGGTTTGAGACTAGCCTGGGCAACACGGCGAATACCCATCTCTGCTAAATACACACACACACACACACACACACACACACACACACACAAAGTTACCTGGGTATGGCGATGTGTGCTTGTCATCTCAGATACTTAAGAGGCTGAAGTGGGAGAATCACCTGAGCCCGAGAAGTCAACGCTGCAGTGAGCCATGATCGTGCCACTGCACTCCAGCTTGGGTGACAGAGTGAGACTCTGTCTCAAAAAAAAAATTCCTCTGAAAGGAGGTTGTTACAAAGTGAGGTTCTTCCTCCTCTTTCATCTCTCTGCACACATGTTCTCTTCCCCTTTGACCATCATCCTGTTCTGACCTAGCTCAGGCCCCTCATCATAGGCCAAGCAGATGCTGGCGCCATGCTTCCTGTACTTTCCACCCTGCAGAACCGTGAGCTAAATAAACCTTTTTTCTTTATAAATTGCCCGCTCACAGATATTCTGTTATAGCAACCCAAATAAGACCAAGACAGCACCTGAATCAGCTAAACTGCTTTCCACTGCAAGTAACAAAAAACCTAACTCCAATTGGCATAATCAAATATATTATGTCATATAATGCGAAGTCCAGAGGCAGGACGGATTCCAGGCATGCTACATCGCAGTGCTCTGGCTCAACACTGTGACAGTTTTCTTGGCCCTGGCCTTGTACTTGATTGCTGGTGAGGTAGCTACAGTCATTATAGGTATCACGATACAACGAAGTCCAAAGGAAGAAGGGAGACTGTCTCTTTCTTATAGGTCTTTACTATGAGGAAGGAAACTGTTCCCAGAGGCAGGAGACTCTCTCTCATGGCTCATTAGTCAGGACTAAATTACATTCCTATTTTAATCCATTCAGTGGCAAGGGGGATGGGCATAGTTAATACTAGTCATAGAGGTGGAATAGATCTTTACAGTCAACCATTACCACTTATTGGTACACAGCATGTTTGTCTCTTTCTGAAGAGATTTACATGGAGATTAATGAATGTGAAGGAGAATGTCAAGGAAGTGTGTATGTGTGCGTGTGTGTGTGTGTGTATATAATAGTGTTTGGCTAATGAAAGTGCATGATCTCAGGACTCAAACTGCACTGAAAGAATAGTTCTTATCCACAATAGTTCTCAGATGATGAGAGCAAAGAAAAGTACATCATAACCTGGGACCCCAGGAAAGGTGAAGCTTATTGCAGAAGTTGCCGTGGGCTTGCACATTTCCACAAACACCTGCACTCTCCTATCAGGGGTTGTAGGCTGCTCTTTCAGACGCTCTTGGAGAAACCTCATTCCCTGTTACTTGCTTTTATGTAATCTATAGACTAGACTAGCCACAGGCAAATGAGAACAAGGTGGATGCACATGTGGTGCAACTTGACATGAGAAAGAGGCCCTTTACCCTCCAAAACGCTCTCCTGTAAAAACAAAGCAAACTGGCCGGGTGCGGTGGCTCACACCTATAATCCCAGCACTCTGGGAGGCCCAGGTGGGTGGATCACAAGGTCAAGAGATTGAGACCATTCTGGCTAACACAGTGAAACCCTGTCTCTACTAAAAATACAAAAAATTAATCGAGCATGGTGGCATGCACCTGTAGTCCCAGCTACTCAGTAGGCTGAGGCAGGAGAATGTGAACCCGGGAGGTGGAGGTTGCAGTGAGGTGAGATGGTGCCAGCAGTGAGGTGAGATGGTACCAGCCTGGGAGACAGAGCAAGACTCCATCAGGGGCAGGGACAGGGGCAGGGGCAGGGGGAGGGGGAGGGGGAGGGGGAGGGGGAGGGGGAGGGGGAGACCAAACGCACAAAATCACAGAAACCCAATTAACTACATGCTAATTTATAGACTAGACTCAATAAGTAGCTATGGGACCAGACCAGTCTGGGCTACATGGTAAGCCTCATCTCTACAAAAATATATATATATTTTTTTGTTGTTGTTGTTATTTTTTTTTTAGATGCAGTCTCTCTCTGTTGCCCAGGCTGGAGTGCCATGGTGCAATCTTGGCTCACTGCAATCTCCACCTCCCAGGTTTAAGCCATTCTCTCTCCCCAGCCTCTCGAGTACAGTCAGGGTATTTTTATTAGAGATGGGATTTCACCATGTTGGCCAGGCTGGTCTCGAACTCCCAACCTCAGATGATCATCTGGCCTCAACTTCCCAAATTCCCTTGGATTACAGGTGTGAGCCAATGTGTCCAGCCTGCCAAAAAAAACGTTTTTCAAGTTAGCCAGATGTGGTGGTGTGCACATGTAGTCCCAGCTACTCAGGACGCTGAGGTGAGAGGATCAGCTGAGCCCAGGAGGTCGAAACTGTGGTGAGCTGTGATAGCACCACTGCACTTCAGCCTGGACAATAGAGTAAGACCCAAACTCAAGAAAAAAAAAAAAAAAAAAGAAACCACTTTATCATTTTGCCAAAATTTCTAGTAAGACAGACACATCTATATGAAACACATGAGAAAATAATGTGACAAAGGAATTCAAGTATGTGTCCTACTTGAGCCAATATATGAGGAAGAAACCACAAATATAAGATTCTCGGGAGAGGGCTCCGTGTAGCTCTCTGAGAGTCTCCTGCTCCTAATCTGGCTCCTGAGGAGGACACTGGGATTCGGTTCTTCATCTCCTCCTTGTTGATAAGAAACTGGCATATTACATTAAAAATTAATCAAGACATCTCCAAAGAATAAAGTATGATCTTGGGTTCATTTTGGACACTCCTAAGAAGAGTAAGGGGGTATGTGAGAATTTGGTATTGGGGTGTTTAGGGCGGAAATGTTTATACTTGACGGATGCAAAAATGTGTATCAGTCATCGTGGAACCCCTCAAGCACTTGACCCTGTCTTTACCATTAGGTGGCAAAAGTGCATGTGTCTCCCTAAGATGTGAAGAGCTGGAATAACAAGGAAACTTCCCTTTGGGAATAGAAGTTAGTTTCAGGTCAGATCTGTTCATAATTTATTGCTTCTTTTTTGGGGAACATTTACTAACTTCCTTTTTTTTTTTTTTTTTTGCCATCCTGCCTGGCTATCTATCTATCTATCTATCAGTCATCTATCTACCTGTCATCTATCTCTGTCTCTCGGGCTCTGTCTATCTATCTATTTATCTGGCTGGCTCCATCTGTCTTTCTGGTCTATCTGCCTATCATTTTTTTTAGTAGAGATGTAAGCTTGCTATGTTCTCCAGACTCTGGATATGTTGCTTTTTGGTTTTTTTTGTTTGTTTGTTTGTTTTTTTCTTGAGACAGAGTCTTGCTCTGTTGCCCAGGCTGGAGTGCAGTGGTGCAATCTCAGTTCACTGCAACCTCCGCCCCCTGGGTTGAACCATTCTCCTGCTTCAGCCTCCTGAGTAGCTGGGATCACAGGTGTGCACCACCACACTCGGCTAATTTTTGTATTTTTAGTAGAGACGAGGTTTCACCATGCTGGCCAGGCTGGTCTCGAACTCCTGACTTCAGGTGATCTGCCCGCCTTGGCCTCCCAAAGTGCTGGGCTTACAGGCATTAGCCACCACACCTGTCCTAACTTCCTGAAGTAAGGTATAATTTCTGGCATGTTCATGGGGTCATACTTTTGCAAGGGAACAGAGGGCTCCCACTGATTGAACACCACCGGGGTGCCTGTGTCATGACTGCGTTTTTCTTTACATCCTCACACAGTCCTGAGTGACTGAGTATCATTATAATAGCATTGTGACAGAGAGCACTGGGGTCAACCCTGGGCTCTGCACTAACTAGCCAAATGCCCCAGGGTGCTCCTTTTTATAAATATAAATAAGGAGATAACAGTACCTACCTCGGGAGATGGTCATGAGAATCAAATGAGGGAATGTTAAGTATGCCTCACTCAGCACCTTGCAAATAATAAGCACTTAGTAAACGTCTGTTTGTGTTTTGTTGTTTTCCTCGTTTTACAGGTAAGAAAGTCATATCTCCAAGTGATTAAGTAACTTGTCATATCAGAGAGAGGTTAAGTAACTTGCTTAAGGTCACCACATAAGTAAGTCATGAGAGAGGAATTCAGACCCTTTATCTAATTTCAGGTTTGTCCAATTCTAGAGTCAGATATTTCACAACTATGTCATCTTTCTGTTGAATAGTCTATTTCAGACACTTTATTCCAGTTACACAGGATCATGGGATAAAGCTCCTAAAAGTTGGAAATTTAAAATAAATATTTTTGTTGCCATCCTGAGTGTTCTGCACTTAGGAGGCATTCAGTGGATGTCGCTGCATGACTGAAAGATGGCAAGGCTGTGCTTAAGACCTTGATAGACTACCATGTTGCAGTTTTCAGTAATAGACTGAAAATATAATAATACTCTTACCTTAGCAAGGTGGAGAGGTTTGCCTGAGGTCATAAAGCTACCAGGTGGCAGAGCTCTGGGGAGAAGTGTGTGTGGCTGCATTCCTGACCCATGTGCCTAATGCCCTGCTGAATTGTCCCCTCACTTTGAAAAAGCTACTAGTGTGTTCAGAGTGAATTTAGTGTAGTATACAGAAAAGCCTTAAGGAACCAGGACCCAGGAATCAGGCTTTGTTTCTCTGCTCTGATGAAGTAATTGCCATCAAAGGAAACATGTAAAACAAAAAAACAATATGCAAAACCAAACCAACAAATAAACTAGCCAGTAAAGGAAACACACTCATGTGCTTGGTTTGGGGTGGGGATGGGGCCCCACAAAGTCAGTCAATTTCCATGCCATTTGCAACTTCTTTATTTCTATCTGTTGCTATGATCTTTACTCATGATGACCATCTTTGAGAAAAGATTTAGTTCTGCTAATTGTTATATGTTAGAGAACGGAGCTAAAGTTTCAACAAGTTTTGAAGCAAAAAAATTTTCTCAGTTTACCAGAAAATTTATATTTATCTAAATGTTCCAACTATAGTTAATAGATTTTTTTTAGTAACCACAGTAGAACTTCTTTTATTGCAGTTAATTGTTTCTTGGATTTGGGTATACTGTGTGTCAGGCTGCATGTGCCCGAATAGATTAACCAACTAAAGAGAAACTTGGTGTGTTTCGTCTAGACTATAAGGTAAGGTTTTCCTTTAGCACCAGGATTTTAAACCCACCTGATGCATTGTGTTACAGCAAATATAATCAATCACTCAATTCTGAATATCTAAATCACCTTAAAATATAAAAATAAATATATTATTTTATTATTGTGAAATTTTAGCTCAAAAAGAAAAAAACCCACCACCGACTCTATTTATTCTAAACTCTGTTTAACTATGCAGGCTGGCATGTTTGGGGGTGATGTATACTGATGTTTTCAACTGGATTTGTAGTGCATCAAAACAATAAGGATTTTGGATTGATAAAGGGATGGGTAGAAAAATATGTGATAATACCACTGCACAGTTCTTTCGGCTTTTCATTATGTCTAAAATTTTTCAATAAAATGTCGGGAAAAACATAAGTGCATGGATTAAACTACTTGTAGTCAGACATTATTTAAAAGAGTCCAGAAAATGCTTGTATTATAGAAAATCTCACATTAAGTGAATTGATTATGAAACCATAGAATTAATACTGACTTTGGTTGCAATTTATCAAGTGCCCAGTATCTGCCACGAACTTCACAAAGTGCTTAATAAATGTTATCTAATTTAATACAAGTGTCATTTGAAGTAAGGGGAATTATCCTTGTTTTACAGGTTAGGGAACAAGCTTGAAGGTTATATGACATGCAGAGGGTACACATCCAGTGAGCAGCACAACTCTGAAACCGTGTCTTTGTCTGCCTGGGTATACAGCCAATGCTGTTAGCCACCGCACTCCAGGAAAGGGAAAATTGAACTGGAAACCTTTACAGATTATCTAATTCAATGTCCCCAACCCTTCCTTACAAATGACACAGATGTTCGCCAGCACTAGGATCCCAGAATTTCTACTCTTCGGTCAAGGTTTTCCCATTAGTCACCGTGTGTCTCTAAGTACAACTGTTTTGTTGTTTTTGTTTTTGTTTTTGTTTTGAGATGTAGTCTCCCACTGTCACCCAGGCTGGGGTGCGACGGCGAAACCTCGGTTCACTGTAACCTCCACCTCCCAGGTTCAAATGATTCTCTGGCCTCTGCCTCCCAAGTAGCTGGAATTACAGGCGCACACCACCACGATCTGCTAATTTTTTTTTTTTTTTTTTTTTGAGACGGAGTTTCACTCTTGTTACCCAGGCTGGAGTGCAATTGGCGCGATCTCGGCTCACCGCAACCTCCGCCTCCTGGGTTCAGGCAATTCTCCTGCCTCAGCCTCCCGAGTAGCTGGGATTACAGGCACGTGCCACCCTGCCCAGCTAATTTTTTGTGTGTTTTTAGTAGAGATGGGGTTTCACCATGTTGACCAGGATGGTCTCGATCATCTGACCTCGTTATCCACCGGCCTCGGCCTCCCAAAGTGCTGGGATTACAGGCGTCAGCTACCGCGCCCGACCCATACAGCTGATTTTTCAAAATGGATTCACTATAGGATCCTTTTAAGTAACAAATTTCCATAATGCCCTTCAGTTGTAATTTGATATAGTAGAATTTCATCTATATACTTTTTTTTCCAGATATCATGTATGTCGTAAACGGGGACACCCTAATGCTCTAAATAGTATGTCCGAGAGTGTAATATTAGCTTGCTCTTTTGAATGAACTCGAATTGTGCAGATTTCCCTGATGGGAAAAAGGCAAGAAATTCTGAAATACTTAATACATATATATTTCAGCCATTTGAGTGAAAATGCTATAATTCTGGAAATTGTTTCACAGCTCAATTCTAAACCTATGGCTTTTCTGATTTACATGGTGCAACCCACCTTAAAAAAACATGAACAGAAGGAGAGTTGAACATTAGAAAATAAAAAGATCATTTATGTCCTGTCCTCCACTTACATCTATCCCTTCCCCATTTGTCTTCAATGTTATTTTTGAAATCCTGATGTGCATGTGTGGCAGCACTGAAGAAATGAAAGGAACCACTAAGTCTCCTTTTAGGTTTTACATTCTAGGCAGTTGTCCATCGATTCTAGAACCATTAGGCAAGTGTTTGGCCGCTTTGAAGTTAGTTTTGGGTTTAAGTTTCAGGCCCATCACTCACTAGATGAGTTTCAGTGAAACACCTTATCTTGTGAGTCAGTTTTCCATCAGTTATAAAATACTAACCTGACAGGATTATTATGGGTATCAAATCAAAATGTATTTATGCTTTGAAAACAAAAAAGCAAAGACAGAAAAGAACAATGTCATCAACATTTTTTTAAAAATTACCCTTTGTTTGTTTTTGCCATTTTCTATTAGCATAATTATATGTTTTTAGTGTGTGATAAAACTATAAACATCTTTCTTGATTTCAGAGTATGGAAATGCTGGAAGATAATTTTCCATTGATCTCTTGCATATCTTGCAAGTGAGGCACTGATTTCCTTTATTACAGACTATTTTTCCAAGGATTTTTATATAATAACCTTGGAAGACAGAGAAAATGTCTCTTTACGGAGCAAACAGCAGGCATGCTTACTATTCCGTATAAAAGATTCCCTAACTTTTGGGTTTCTCCACTGTAACACAATCAATTTTATGTGGAGCTCTCTATCTGGGCTTGTCCCTGTTGCCCTGTGGGAAGTGGGCCTTGCGGTACTGGTGAAAAGGCTGATACTCTGTCTACTTCTCTTGCTGTAGGGAATAAAGCCTCCTGTCTCTGCCCCAGGAGTCTTGTGTCTTCTAATGATCATCATACTCTGTGGCAGGCTAATTTGTTAGCCCGCAAAAAGTAAAATCTCAGGCCCTTCACCATTCTCGACAGGAAGTTGGAATGTAAAATGGGGAATGATTTTTCCTTCTATCATGACTTGAGACAATTTTTACAAAATATGTATCAACTTTTTGAGAATGGGCAGTATATTGTGATTAATCTTACAGATTCTGTAGCCAGGCTGTTTGGGTTCTAATCCTGAATAGTGGTCTTTTTTAGTTTGGATTCCCAAAAACAGACCCTGAGACACAGATATGAGTGAAAATAGTTTATTTGGAAGGTGATCTTAGGAATCACTGATGGAAACTGAGGAAGTAGGAAAGGAAAGAGGAGACAGACAATAAATGATGAATTTTCAAGTGAGTTATGACTGTGGATAGCTAGAGTTTAATCTTATTTGGGAACTCTTGTAGCCAATACAGAACATGTACTTTGGATTTTCCCACTTGAGGGGTGAGGGAGCTGGATATTATACACTAAATCACATGAGTCCTTGCTTGAGGGACCCTGGAAGAGGGTAGGTACTGATTCTAGTTCTGGATTTTGGGGTCTGCCTTGCACAACACAAAATAGACTTCCACAGGACCTGGCAGGTAGGTGTGAGATTCGGGTGTGCGTTATATTAATAAGGCCAAGGGAACATAGCTGGCACAATCACAGCTTTTGTTATCGATACCCTCCAGCAGTATAGTCTTATGAAGTTACTCGATCTGTTTATGCCCCTGTTCTCTCGTCTGTACAATGGGAATAATAGCATCAACCACATAGAGTTGATGAAACAATTAAAAATCCAGCCTGTGTAAAACACTTAAAACAAGCCATAGTCTTTCATAATACTGTTGTTTTAAAAACAACAGTACTGCTGAACAGTATAGTATGGTTTTTAAAAAATACTGCTGTTTATTGTTGTAGAAGAACGTGACCTTTTGTATTTATTGAGATTTTTTCTGTCTCATTCTCTAGCATTCTGGAGATTGACTTTTAATTCCTTAACATCATGGAATTTTATTTTATTAATATTACATGCCTGAGATTGAATCGTCTATATTCCAGGTATATTGATGTTTGACTTTTGTCAGGGGGCAGCACTGACTGCCTCGTGGGAAGCACGTGGAAGGATGTGTTTAAAACTCATTCCTATGTAAATTTCCTTAGAGAATTGATGGGGCTCAGCACTCCTGAACTCTTTAATTTGAAGATTTACTGCTTTGTCAGAGAAACTAATTAGATCTTTTTTGAAGTGTCAGTAACACAGCAGCATTAGACTCAATTTTCTGTTTCTCTATTATGGGAATGAGAATATAAAAGAGAAGTGTATTTTAAACTCAATTTTCCAACATTATATATCATTTGTGTCAGACTCTGACAAATCGGCATCATAGTAATGATGGAATTCACCAAAGGAAAACACTCAAGAATTTTAGTAAGCCTTACTTAACTTTCGATTATGGTAAAATTCTACTATTAAGCTAAACAGCACAGGTAGGAAATGACAGTTTACTGGAAAAGAGGCCCGTATTTACAGAAACCAACTCCTCAGAGGTCTATAGATTTGTCTGTTTCCTACCTTAGTAGCATTCCTTTTTTATTCTCCCTTTTAGTTTAGTAAGCAAATAGTCCTCTCTCTTAACTCCTGACCTCTTATTTAAAGATCCTAGCCACTTTTACATATTATCCAAGTCGTTATATTAAGGAAATTGGCTAAAGAAATTTCCCCAAACCCTTTCATTTTTGCAGTTGCTCACATAGGTATTCTTTTTTGTCTGAGGATATCTTAATACAATATATAAGTGAATATTGTTAAAAGCTAAGAAAATTGGCTGGGTGCGGTGGGCTTATACCTGTAATCCCAGCAGTTTCAGAGGCTGAAGTCAGGAGATCAAGGCCATCCTGGCTAACACGGTGAAACCCTGTCTCTACTAAAAATAAAAAAAATAATTAAAAAAAAAATTGCCGGGCGTGGTGGCACTCTCCTGTAGTCCTAGCTCTGCCTGAGGCCGAGGCGGGAGAAACGCTTGAACCTGAGAGGCAGAGCTTGCAGTAAGCCGAGACTGAGCCACTGCACTCCAGCCTGGGTGACAGAGTGAGATTCTGTCTCAAAAAAAATAATAATAATAATAAACACTAAGAAAATTATAATTTTTCTATAAATATTGTATCAGTGTTTTGAGCCAAAATAAAATTAGTCATAATTTTCTGCATTCATAAACGTTTTGCATTAGTCATAGTTTTTTTGCAATAAAATTTTAATAAAATGCTTTTTTTCTAGTTACTGTTTTCTTCCACCTTAAACATCTTAAATTTGAATTCTATTAAATGGTTTTTAATTTTTATTATGAACCACAAAGAGTTGTAAAACCTATAAGCTTTCTTTTAATCCATTAGTCAACTTTTAAAAAACCTTTGATGTCTTATTGATCTATAATATTTTTCTGAGTGAAATGTCGAATAAAGTTTCCTATAAATTTAATCCATATACGCTATGACACGATATTTATTTCTTGAATTTTCCTAGCCATTTTCCTTCCTGCTCAATATGAACTTAATAAAATATATTAATATATATGAAAGAAATATGTATACCTATGGATAATATGAACCAAATGTTGTTACCTGAAACAGAATACTCAGACTATTAGGGAGGAAAAATTAATGAAATTCAGCGAAATGCCAAACTCAAGTTTTAAAAATAAGTTCAAATTGTATTACAGATTTATGGATGTTAAGAAGTGTCATAATGTTTTAAATAGTCTTTTAGTGCATATATGTGGTTATAAAATAATGCAGTAATAATTGATTGAATTATATCTCTTTGCTGTTCATTAGCTCATTTATGGAAGGTCATCCCCTTATTGAGACCAGCTCAAAAGACCCTCAGGAACTTAGAAGACTCCTGCTGACTTTGAAGATCATAGTCCCAAAGCAGGTCCTGAAATGCAGCAGCAAAGAAGAGCATCACCGTCAAAGCTCAACTTCCATCAGAATGGTAAAGTAGGCAACAGGCGTTTTGGGGGCCACCACTGCCTCCCCTTTCTGTACCATCTCCTACCTCCCTTCCCTCCCAAATGCCCAGGGTCCTAGTCCACAACTGAGCTATTTGGAGCTCCTCTGCAGCATCCCACTAAAGCTCATTTTTCATGGCATATTCTGAAGTGAATCAAATCCTATCTTTCAACAAAAGTTACTACTTGTCATTCCATTTTTTATGGGCCCAATTTTTTATCTGGGGAAAGCTAATATTCAAAAAATCTATTTCTGATAAATTGTTAATGATGAGAATGGATTTAGGATAATGTTTAGCACAAACATACTTGCTGAAGATATAAAAGCATCTGGCAATCTAATAATGTCTCTAGTCACATATATATATTTTAACAGGGGCCACTTGGATACATTTCTTAAACTACAGAAAACGATGCTAAAATTTCAAAGTTCCAGACCTATGGGAAAGTTATATTTGGGAGTATGTCACCCATTTATTAAGTTTGTACCCTCATATAATTGATGCATATGGTGAGCCTGGTCTAATGGGCGAAATCTGTTACAATATGAGTATGCATTGAATTCAAGGTACACTGTTGGAAATTTGAGGCTTGTCAGTGATGCTGACTATTTCTGGGCACTGGTACAAGCACCAGAAAGAAAGCTTAGTTACATGTTTTCTTTAGTGATGACATGAATTAAATAATATACTCTAAGATTAGATGTGTCACCTATTCAACACAGAGTACTTACAAATGGCCTCAAAGCAAATATAGTCTGTTAAGTGCAAAAACTGGGGAATGTTGACAGCTGCCAAGCCCACATAATGTTTACACATTTTATATGCTAAGCAAACATGTCAGTCAGTTTGTCTGACCCAGCTGTGCCCTCTTCCTGAGAACATGTTCCCATTGGTGAATGGGCAGCAAGCCACATGACCCAATCCTCCTGGACACAGTGGATTGGAGCAGAGATGAAAGAGATAAAGGAAGAGAGGGAGACACACGTACAGGCAGAGACGGGAAAAAAGGACAAACCAGCAGGTAGTCAGATAAAGACCAGTGACCATGCAGCTTCAGTGGAAGAGGGAGGAAGAAAGAAAAAGAGAGTGGACTCATTTTGATTTCAGAGATCTTTCCAATTCCTCCTTGTAGTTCTGTGTGTGGCCCATATGTGTGTTCTATCCTGATTCTATAAGATAAATAATCTGTGTAACAGAGAAAGCTAATTTCTATAATAGCATCCAATAGAAATAGAATACAAGACACATGTGTAATTAAAAATTTTCTAGTAGCTCCATTAAGAATATTTTTAAAAACAGGTGAAATCAATCTTTTAAATATATTTTATTTAACCCTATATATGTAATATTGCTGTTTCAACATATAATCAATATAAAAATTATCAGTGAGATGTTTACATTCTTATTTTTATGCTAAGTCATTAAATTCTGGTGTGTGTTTTACAACAGTCCATCTCAACCTGGACGAGCCAAATTCCAGGTGCCCAACAGCCACAACATGATGGCTACCCTGTTGGACAGTGCAGACATAGAACAGTCACTGGAAGGCAGCTGTGCTAGCAGGGGCTGCATTTCCCAGCTGCCTTGCATCTAGGAAAGACCAGGTGACTAGTTATTGCCAGACTTTAGAGTAGAAGCTTTATGTGCTACTTCCAAAATAAGGTGGTTAAGAAGCAGGTATGGGGCCGGATGTGGTGGCTCACACCTGTAATCCCAGCACTTTGGGAAGTCAAAGAAGGCACATCACGAGGTCAGGAGTTCAAGACCAGGCTGGGCAACGTAGTGAAACCCCACCTCTACCAAAAATACAAAGAAATTAGCCGGGCATGGTGGTGGGCACCTGTAATCTCAGCTACTCAGGAGGCTGAGGCAGGAGAATCACTTGAACCTGGGAAGAGGAGGTTGCAGTGAGCCAAGATCATGCCATTGCACTCCAGCCTGGGCAACAGTGCAAGACTCCATTTCCAAAAAAAAGGAAGCAAGCAAGTGTGGCTCCTCTGTCCCCTCTCACCATCTTGGCAAAAATGGACATGGCAGCCTTGGAAGCCATGTGTTAAAGATGGCATAAAAACTTCGTAGCTACTAGGGTGGCTGAGGTGGGAGGATTGCTTGAGCCCAGGAGTTCAAGTCCATCCTGGGCAACATAATGAGATCCTGTGTCAAAAAAACAAAAAAAGAAGCATAAGAAGGAAGGAGCATGGGTCTCTGAAGCATCATGTTGAAGAAAGCCTGCTGTCAGTTGCATATATTCATTTTGAATGTTAAGCAAGAAATCAACTTTTTTTTTTTGTTTGAACTGCTATATATTTTTTGGTTTGCTTAGCAGTTTAGCCTGTTCCATCGTTTGTGTGTGTGTATGTGTGTGTGTGTGTACATATACACATATATATTTTATAGAGAGAATATATATATAGAGAGAGCTTTGTACACCAATGTTCATCGAAGCATTATTTCTGTACTGCCGTTAAAAGCTTTTTCTATTTCTAGTGGCAAGTGATACCCTAAAACGTGTGTGTGTGTGCACACAAAATGAATTATCTTTGGGTTTTGTCAATGGGTAATTTATCTGTGTGTAATTTACCTAGGACATGTTTAGGCCAAAGCCTTTATCTGGAAAAGTAAAGCTCTGAAAATAAATCGAAAGGATTAATATGAATGAACTATAAAACTCTTGCAAGAAAAAATTTGACAAGACTGGGCACAGTGGCTCACACCTGTGATCCCAGCACTTTGGGAGGCTGATATGGGCTGATCACCTAAGGTCAGGAGTTCGAGACCAGCCTGACCAACCTGGAGATACGTAGTTTCTACTAAAAGTACAAAAAATTAGCTGGGTGTGGTGGTGCGTGCTTGTAATCTTAGCTACTTGGGAGGCCGAGGCAGGAGAATCACTTGAATCTGGAGGTGGAGGTTTCCGTGAGCCAAAATCATGCCATTGCACTCCAGCCCAGGCAATAATAGTGAAACTGTCTCAATTAAAAAAAAAAAGAAAAGAAAAGAAAAGGAAAGAAAGAAAGAAAAAGAAAACATTGGACAAAATCTTCAAAACATTCAATTTGATGATGATTTCTTGGATATAACACCAAAAGCAAAGGCGATAAAAGAAAAAATAGACAAACTGAACTTTATGAAAATTTAAACATTCTGTGCATCAAAAGACACTAAGCAGAGTAAAGGGTAACCCATGGAATGGAGAAAATGCTTGCAAATCATATATCTGATAAAGGATTAACATCTAACACATACAGGGAACTTCAAAAACTCAATAACAACAAAAACCAAACAACCAATTCAAAAATGGGCAAAGCACTTGAATAGACAGTTCTCCAAAAAAGACATACAAATGGCCAATAAGCATATGAAAACATGATTAACATTAATCTTCAGGGAAATGCAAATAAAAACCACAGTGGGATACTACCTCACACGTATTAGGACAGCTAGCATAAAAAAATAACAAATGAAACAGAAAATAACAATTGTTGGAAAGGATGCAGAAAAATCGGAACCCTTGTGCACTGTTGGTGGGATTGTAAAATGGTATAGCCACCATTAAAAAATAGTATGAGCTGGGTGAGGCAGCTCACACCTGTAATCCCAGAATTTTGGGAGTCCAAGGCAGGCGGATTACAAGGTCAGGATATTGAGAACAGCCTGGCCAGCATGGCCACCCCGTCTCTACTGAAAAATACAAAAATTAGCTGGGCATGGTGGTACACACCTGTAGTCCCAGCTACTCAGGAGGCTGAGGCAGGAGAATCACTGGAACCCGGTAGACAGAGGTTACAGTGAGGCAAGATGGTACCACTGCATTCTAGCCTGATGACAGAGTGAGAGTCTGTCTCAAAAAAAAAAAAAAAAAAAAAAAAAAATGGTATGGCAGTTTCTTAAAAAACTAAAAATGGAATTACTGTATGATCCAGCAATTCCAATTCTGGGTCTATACCCCAGGGAATTAAAAGCAGGCTCTTGAAGACACATCTGTACACTCATGTTCACAGAAGCATTATTCACAATAGCTGAAATGTAGATACACCCTAAATATCCACTGTGGATCAATGAATAAGTATAATATAGTACACATTTACTTATTTGTGGAGTATTATTTAGCAGGAAAAAGGAATGAACTCCTGACACATGCTGCAACACAGATGAACCTTGAGAACATTATGCTAAAGAAAGTAAGCCAGGCTGGGCGTGATGGCTCATGCCTGTATTCCTAGCACTTTGGGAGGCCAAGGCTAGCAGATCACCTGAGGTCAGGAGTTCGAGACCAGCCTGGCCAGCATGGTGAGACCCCAGCTCTGTGAAAAATACAAAAATTAGCAGGGTATGGTGGCAGGTGCCTGTAATCCTAGCTACTTGGGAGGCTGAGGCAGGAGAATCACTTAAACCCAGGAGATGGAGGTTGCAGTGAGCTGAGATGGTGCCATTGCACTCCAGCTTGGGTGAAAAGAGTGAAATTCTATCTCAAAAAATAAAAATAAAAAATTTAAAAATTTTTGAAAGGGAAATAAGCCAATCGAAAAAAGACTACTGCTGTATAATTCCATTTATATGAGGCACTTAGAGTAGTCAAGATCACAGTGACAGAAAATAGAATAGTGGTTGTCAGGGGTTAGGAGGTGAGGAAATGCGGGATTGCTCTTTAATGGGTATAGGGTTTCAGTTTTGTAAGATGAAGAGAGTTTTGGAGCTGGATGAGAGTGATGTTTACTCGACAATATAAATATACTTAATACCACTGAACTATATACTTAAAAATCATTAAAATAGTACATTTAATATTATGTATATTTTACCCCAATAAAAATAATTTATTTTAAAAACGTTACTTTAAAAAATCAAGAGGAGGGCCAGGCATGGTGGCTTACTTCTGAAATCCCAGCACGCTGGGAGGCTGAGGCAGGTGGATCATGAGATCAGAAGTTCAAGACCAGCCTGGCCAATAAGGTGAAACCCCATCTCTACTAAAAATACAA